GGAGCAGGACAGAAAGGGGAGCCCAGGAGACAAAATCAGAGAGCATCCCACCCCGCCACACTCCAGCCAAGCGGCTGAGTATAGACGGCATTCATAGAAATTTGCTTTTTCTTTCTCCAGCCACCTTTTGTCATTTTTTTATGGTTTATAGGAGACTACTCTCACTTCCGAGTCCATGCCAGCATTCCCACTGTGCTGAGCAGTGAGCCATTCCACCAGCAATGCCCAGAAATCACCACCGCGCCGTACTCTGCTGTTGTCCTCTCTGTATTGATGGGCCAAAACATCTTCTCCCTCCTCTTCCCCCGTGCTGATCCTTTCCCTCCAGACTTCTGACACCCGAATCACCTCCCCACTGTGCCCATCATCCCCTGTCTGGTCTTAATGCTTAAAAACCTACATCACTTCAGAAGCCACCTCCTTTGCAGCTTGCTTGGCTTACAAGTGTTTGTCCTGCCCTGGGCGAGTCTGCAGCCTCCTGGTAGACAGAAATGTTGTGGGTTTGACCCCTTTTAACAAGACACATTCAGGATCGATATTTTTAGCAGTAAAGGAGCCTGAGCTACATTACTGCTGGATGTATAAAGTGTCCCAGCTCCTGGTGCACCCCAGGGACACCAGCCAACTCTCTGACCCGCTCTATCTTGTGCATGTTTTCCAGTGTCCTGAGATATTTCCTAGCAAACAGATAATTTTCTGATTTGGTTAAACAACTGCTCCAGCCTCGCACAGAGACGGCAGAGGAGCGGCTGTGAGAAGGAGCCTGGCCGGGTTTTGGCTGTATGGAGAAGGGGCTGCCTTTCCCTGTGCTCCCCAAGACCTCTGGCAGGCGCAGAAACCGATGCCCACCACCGACCTGGCCTGCTGAGACTTATTTAACACTTTCTAACAGCCCAGGCTATGCTGCGAGTCTATTTTCAGATGGTCCTGGTTTGTACTTCAGTGTTTTTAGATGCCTTCTGTTTGTTATATCCCTGATTTCTGGCTTTAGAGGAGTAAAATAATTACTGACTCAGGTGCCTATCAAAATACAGCTCATAAACAGACTGTTCTGCTTGTACCTGTCTCTAATTTATTGGTGACAATTGTTTGTTTTCCTCTCCAGCTGTGAAAAATATGCCCATTGTAAAATATCCCAGGGCTACAGAGCCTCTCTGGCACGAATGGGACAGGAAAGCACAGAAATGTGGATTAAGACACACCGTCTATGCTGTAAATGGGGACCGGTATACTGGAGAATGGCTGGACAACTTGAAACACGGTAAGATAGACCATTTTGAGAAAAACTACCAATTTAAATGTCTTTACAAAAGTTCTAGGGGCAGGGAGTGGTCAGTGGTTGTATATGCTCCTGGAAGACCATTCATTCATGTATGACTATATGTATATAAATATGTCTTTGATATACGACGTGCAAAAACATACTCAGAAATATTTCTAATAGGTAACTTGAAGAGCTTTTGCTTGCACTCAGGAGCAATTACCTGAAATATCTAGATAATAGATGTTTAAAATCCTCTGCAAGAACAGCAAACTGCAGCCAGCTCCACACTCCAGGATGTGCCCTGGCTACGCAGTCCCTGGAGCAGTCTTGGCTCCTGACTTGGCTTCAGGAATATTAATTTATCCTCAAGTCGTGACGGGTGCTGCAGGAGTCAGAACAGGGGAAGGAGACCCTGACCGAGCCCTGAGGAGCCAGAGCAGGACAGGCTTGTTTACAGGCAGTAACCCGAGGTTTGGAAAGATTTAAGTGCATTCAGCAAAGGCCACACAGGAAGCCCCTGATCAAGATTAATGACGCATCCGACTGGGGAAGCTAAACTGAATCCCAGACATAAACCTGCCTTGGTGCAGGGAGCGCCGCCTTGCCTGGGATGGAGCTGTAGAAAGGCAGCCCCGTAAATCCTTCTCCTAACAACCATGATGGTCCCCCCGTAATTCCTCTTGTTTGTTAAACAGGTAAAGGCACCCAGGTATGGAAACGCACCAGAGCTATTTATAGCGGTGACTGGAAGTTTGGGAAGCGGGATGGTTATGGCGCATACAGCACTCTTGACCCTGTAACCAAGGAATACAAGAAGGTGTATACAGGCTGGTGGAAAAACGACAAAAAATGTGTAAGTGAGATTTCCTGCACCTGCCGGCAGTGAGGCAGCATTCCCCAAAACATGGGGAATTGGGTGCATAGGTGCAAAAAGATCACTTAAAATACTTATTTTTCAAATGCTGAGGCTGAATTGAAGGGTTTTGGGGAAACAAATATGTGGAACGAGAAAATGAAAGCAAGAGAAAAACTCTGGTGCTTAGGCTTTCTCCCCCAGCCCTCCCCCACCTCGCTGTTCCCGCTGTTACTCACCTCTCCACAACAGATGCTGCAGGAGCTGCACCATGCCCCACAGCTCGCAATAGGGAAGCAGCAGCGTGACTCCAGGCAGAAGCTATGGGAACAAACCTTCCTCCAGGCTTGGGCTCTCTTTAAATCCTAATTTGAACCTGCAGAAAGCCCAGGAAGCTTCAAGAATAAAAATCCATCATTCATAAAAAGCCAAACACAGCCAAGAGTGCTCTGTCACCCACCATCTCCCCTCTGGAGAGGGACCCATCCCACCCATCGGGTGGCGATCAGGCTACAGCCCCAACCTCCCACCAGCTGCCACAGAGCAGCAATTGCTGCCCTGACTCACCTGCAGCTCGGCCAAGCAGGATGAGAGGTTTCATATCCCGTGTCTTAGTCCTTCCCACCCATCCTTTTCATTCCTCTCATACTCAAAGTGGTCAGAGGAACCTGTATTATAAGCGCTGCAGGAAAATGTACCTTCTTCTGGGAGTTTTACAGCGTATTAGACAAATAACATGAGTTCTTTTGGAAATTAAGCCTGTCACATAAATCACTAGTTTTTCTAAAGGAAACATAATGAGGAAGTCATCTGGTAAAAATGACTGCAATCTTATGTGCAAAATCCTCGTAGGAACGTTTTCTGATCTGCCAATGGAA